TGAGTTACGTCCTGTTCCTACTTAAGAGGACAGGCACCTCAAGTGAAAGGGTTAGAATCAGGTCAAATCATCGGGGACATTTACTTTTGAAATCTGAGTCAGTGAGTGTGAGGAGGAATCTAGAGCTATCACTGAGAAAAGGCAGGGTCAGTGCTGAAGCCCAAGGACGGGAGTGAAGACCAAGATGGAGGCAGAGTAAGAAGGCCGTTGGTCAGAATGGGGGCTGACGGGTGCGGGGGAGGTTAAGAACAAAGTTGGTGTCACTTGGTAGTAAAGCATGCATGATGCAGCTGTTAGGGCTCCTTTTTCTAGTTTGTGCATTTTTTAAAACCCAGAGTTAAAAGTCAAGGCAGATTTATGTTGCTGTACATCAGAAAAGCCAAGATGGTCGTTTCCACTTAAGCTTTGCAGTCCCTGGCATTGTGACTTTGGACAGGTCACTGTTCATTCTTCACTTGACAAATGAAGACTGAAATAACTGTGTAACCATACAATTATTTGGTATCTGTCTCAACCTAAGCACTGCGGAAATGGGGGGGGGGGAAAGTCTCCGACCCTTATGTTTTTCTGATTCATTTAAACTATATGCTACATCTTATGACAGTTCTGATCTTATTTTCTTCACTAACAATTGTTTTCTACTGCCTTCAATGCAGGTTTTGATTCTTTTGCTGTATTTTTGGTTGCTTTTGTTCTTTATTTTTATTTCTCACTCTGCTGAATTTCCATCTGAGCTTGTTTTTTTCCCTAATAAGTTTCCACACTATTTTGTAGAGATGTTTCTTAAAAAAAATTCTACTGAGTACACCAAGGAGTCTTAATCTTTTCTTTTGGTTTTAACAGTAAATAATTTTGGAAGAGGACTTCCCCTAAGCGCTCAACCTGGTCTTTCTTTTTCTGTGTATACAAAATTTTCTTTCTGTGGGGTGCACTGTGTTATTTTCTTACTTGTTCTAAGCGTTCATTCATTCAGCGTTTCCCAGCCTACAGCACACATGATTTACTCACAGCTCCACTCACTGTCACTCGGATTTGCCACTTCAGATCGACAGCTAGTTGCCAACTCCCAGGGTCTACAGTTTTTATTTTGTGTGGCTTTGTTGGCCTGAAATAGACTTTCTAACCCTTGAACAGATGGATAGGCATGCTGAGTTTCAGATCTCCTACCTATGCACAGCCTCTGGGGTCTCCCCATCCCTGGCCCATTCACAGAACTGCAGGGTTCATCCGCAGGCAGACTGCTGCCCAGTTGGCTTCCTGGGTTGGCAGTTTCCTAATGGACTGCATTGAAAAGGAAGATAAAGTCTGGGTTGTGGAGGAGTTCTGGGAAATTGAACTCCCTGGCTGCTTCCAAAAATACAAAAACAAAACAAAATAAACCCAAAAACCTTAACCACCATCAGCAGAATAGAGGGATGACAGCCCTGTGTTTAGGCTGAAAGGGATCTTGTATTTTCAACTCTGGAGCAGAAGGTGGAACGGTCCAAACTCTTGTAAGTCTGGAGGTTTACTTTGTTCAGCGATCACACAGTATGTTTATCAAACAAGTCACATTAAGACTTTTAGATTCTGGAAAATCTTTCCAGATTCTCTGAGTTTGTTAATCCAATTTCTAGTTGATTGTCATTCTGGTTTTCAAAATCAGCAGAAGCATATGCCTTATTTTGCATCTTCACAGGTATTTTTCAAATGAAACAGAGAAAGGTGCTAGCAGGACTTAGTAGCCAAATGCCACTTTACAAAGTATTCAGACAGACGTCTATTACACACTTCCCTTAGCTTGTGTAGACATACGCAGGATCGCAACATGTAGAATGCATAACAATGCCCCCACCTCCCTCCCCTACAATAATTATCTGTCTTACTTTTCTGCTTTTATGTGAACTGAGGACAGGAACAGTTTTCTTTATAGGGTTTACAGGCCTGCACATACTAGGGATCCCCTGCTGAATGAATGAATGCCTAAGAAACCTTAAGAGGTTTTCTGTGAACCACACGAGAATACAGACCTGGGAGAGTTTAAAGCTGGTAAGGCAGAGGAGTGCAGAGAGTGTCTCATGTATGGAGAGGAAACATTCTTACTACCAGGATTCAATGCCAAACAGTTTTTGTCATTGATGAGACTATGGTGCAAGGAACCAGAATCACGGAAATGACTTGTCTTTCTCCTCTGAAGTCTGTGTGTATTATGATTGCTTTGATCTCAGATCCTCTTTTCCACTTAAATCAGTGTCAATGTCACCTCCCATCTGAAGCCTTTTTGACTGTGAGATCAGGATGGCCAATCATTTCCCACACATCTAGGGTGCCCCACGTTGAGTGGCACCTAGAGCCTGATCCCATGTTCCCTCTGTCTGTTTTATTTTATGTTTGCCCCCCAAACATGCTCCATGAATGTCAGATCTTCTGAACCCACTGCATAATTAGCAGTGTGGGTCATAGAATCAATGTCAAATATAAGAGCTGGGGATAGAAGTCATTGAAGTTTTTGACAAAAGTACCACATTGTAACAGATATCAAGTGATTACTTTGATGTTACCCAAAATTGGACTGATGGAAAGAGATTTGGAGAAAAACTTATAGTCCCAAATTTCTTTCCTTCAATATCATTTAGGTTACCTTTTCCTTCCGAGGGATTGGTCATTGCAAAGTAAATCACTGCAAAAGGCAGTTGTGAAGGAAAATCATTGCTAACTTATCATATGACAGATGGCACCTGTTTATAAAACAATAACAAATATGTTTTCACGTAAACATGGTAGGATTTTTAGCTACAATTAGCTATAGACCCCCATGCAAGAAGACTCCTTTGATGAGTATGTCTTTGACTTAATGGGTATTTATTAAAATGATCATCAAAACACTCAAGTGCTGCCTTTAGAATGTATTTTGTATTTGTTCACTTTTAGTAATAGAACACCCTTAACTCTGTGACTTCTTTAATCATGGTAATTCTTACAACTTTTGGGGCTTGGTTTTGAGAAACACCAATAACCCACTGGGATCCCTGGCACCTGTCAGGCTGGGTATACAACTGTTGGGGGAGGGGGGCACCCCAAGGGAGGCAAAGCAAGTACATACACTCTGGGGCCACTATCACTCTATATGCCTGCTTTGCTTTGGGGTCATTTTATAAACTGATCAGGCTTCTTAACGTCTTCAGCTAGTCAGTGTCTACTGCATTTGGGTTCTGATGTTTATCTCTACTGAAGGCACTAATTTTTGTACCTATATAAAATGTGTTCCCCCGTTAGCTCTGTCTGCACTAGAACTGGTGATCTAAAAGCATAGTCCTTGACCTAGAGTTTGTAGCTCCGTGGTTCCCTCTGGACACTCCTCGTCTGCCTCCCAGGTCAAACAAGGAGTCCACGCTCATTATTTGTCATGTGGTCATCCGCCAAGGACACCAGCCAGACGTCACGTTTATTATGTCTGATTTTATCTTATTTTTTCCCTAAGACTTCCATTTATTAGCAGAAGTTAATTATGTCAAGTCGGTAATGAAAATAAAGATCAGGTCTTCCTGTTGGCGTCATAAAAATACTGAAAACACTCAACAAAATTAATCACAAAACCACAGCATTCTGAGCACTGAAGCTCTTCAAGTGAGCAGAGCTGTGCCACTGCCCTGCATGACACACCTCACCTGCTCACAGTCTCCATTCTCAGTTCCTGTCTTAACATCCCTCACACATTGCTTCTCAAATTCTTGATATCTTCCTGGATTCCTATATCAGTGATGATTGTCTTACTTGCAGACTGTCCTGGCCTCTTGGAACTGAAGCTTATCTTTAGTTCTCTAATTTTTTTTTAAAGATTTATTTATTTATTCATACAGAACTGGGGTATAGGCCAGAGATGCAGAGGGTGAGAGGATTCACCAGAGACAAAGTGGGGAGCAGAACAGGCAGATCGACGAGGTACACTGCTGAGGGGAGCAGCGGGCGGGTCAGGAGAGGTCTGCCACGCCATGTGGATCTCCTCCGGGGCAGGCGGGGATCGAACTCATGCTGAAGTGGCTTAAGCTTCGTAGTGCTGTGCTTCAACCCGCTGTGCCACCAGGGAGGGCCATAGCTCTCTAATTTTAACATGCCTCATCTGTCCTCAAACATGCTTCTTGTTGACTCCATCACTCTCAGGCCCCGTCTCCCTGGGCCCTGTAGATGTTCTATCTTGGTTAACAAGGTTCACAAATTCTCCTACCAAGCTCACCTTAGTCCCCGCAGGTGGTTCCACTGAATCTTTGCCTTCGAAGTGACACTAGGAGCTGAATTCAACCACCAACCTAAGTTACTAACTGTATTTTACATCAACCAAATTTTAATCTGAAATCCTAACACTAATGGGGACTCTAACAGCTCTGCCTCAGAGCCTGGCCATAGGCAATGCTGTGTGTTGCAAGCCCAATCGGCACTTCTCTACCAGATGGCTTTGGGCGGAGAGGACACTGTGACTCTACAGACTGATGGGAACACAGAAATGGCACAGGCATGGCCTCATGACTTGCAGCCACTCCATAGGACCAAGAGGAAGCAATAACTACATATAGATATACTGTTTTTTCTTTCCTGTTACTATTTGATTCTTTTTGGTCTTTTTTTCTTTTTGTTTTTTTTACATCATTCTTCATTTTGTACATTTTCCTGATTTAGTTGTAATACCTGTGGACTCCCCACCACCACTTCACCCATGTGCCATTACTATAGTCTTGCGTGCTTTTCCCACCCCAGTTTTGATCCTGTTGCCCTCTCCATCCCTATATAAACCAAAGATATGCTGCTTTTAATGCTCTGGAAGCTGGCTCAGATACAACGAGAACTTCCAGAAGAGGATGCCGGAGAGAGAAGAGCCTTCCACGGCAACACATCTGCAAGGAGCCAGGGGACTGTGGCCTATTTTTTACTCTTCGTCTTTCCTTTCTCCTCGCTTTATTTCTTCCCAACTTTGTAGAACCCTCTGGCCCACCTACACCTCCATGCAAGGACTGGCTGTTACTTACCATGCCCTTTAGTGTCAGATCTGCTAAGGGAGACCGGTTGCCATGGAAATCTGGCCAAACATGTAAATCAACAGTGAGGAAACCCACAGGCTGAGCCTTCTTAATCAGATCCAGGTGACTGTTCAAATATGCATATACACTCTGGCATCTGGAAGAGAAGGAGATTTTGTTTTTTAAAAGGGGGGGGCAGAGCTGGGGAGCAAATGGTTCTGTAGAAAGAAACCATTTGTGCTTTCATATCGAATTCCCCAAATAAGCAGACTCCCCAAGGCAAAGAAATGACCCTGAACCCCTATAAACTGTGATTCCCACTGTAGTATCACCACAAATAGGTGGCAGGTCGTAGTGGAAAGTAGAAAGGTTTCGAATCAGATCAAATCTAGGGAAAGATTTACCCCTAGGAGGTACATAACCATGAGAAAGTTATGCAAACTCTGAACCACCCTTTTTGCATCTGTAAAAACAGATTCATGACCCCTGTCCAACTTACCTCATAGGTTATTGTGGAGATCAAAGGAGACCATGTACGTACAGATACCGTGTTTTGTAAGCTGTACAATACTGTACATATGTAAAGGATTTTTTAAAATCAGTACACTTGATTGCAATAATAATGATGAAAATACAAAAGGAAGCAAATGTAAGTTTCTCAACTCAGGACAGGAGCTTGTGAAGGGAGGGGAGGAATGGAGTGAATGCAGTTAGAATCAGGAATTAGGAAACTTGAATTCCAACCTAAACTTGTCAAGTGATAGCGTGTTTGTACTTTCTCTGCTTGAAGCCTCAGTTTGCTCATGTGCAGAAGTTGGGTTCGGCTGCGAAGGAGACAGAGATGGTAATGGGCTTAATGTCAAGGGGTTCTGGGCCCACAGCTTGGCTCTACCTAACTGGGCTGCTGGGTTGGTGACTTGCCCTCTCTGAACTTCAGTCTTTCCAACATAAAATGGGTAAAATACCACCTGCCTCACTGGGTTCAGTCTCACTGGATGACACAGAGATTAAAGTTGGTTACAATTCTCCTCTTTCACAGTGCTTCCTTTCCAAAGTTCTAAGCCAGAGATTCTAGAAAAAGGTGGATGCATTGAAGGTGGCATCCACTTGTGCCCTTGAATGGATGCTTAAGGGCCAAAAATATGACATAATGGCAAACAATAAAAAAGAGGAAATACATTTCCAACGGACGTTGAAATCTAAGATACCTAGATGATTACTATTTATACTTGAAAATGTAACATTAAAAAATGTTTTAGGCATATAACTCATTCTAATTAGGTTTTAGCTGTGATTTCTAATTCTAGGTTTTGACTGTGAATGTCCCCAAGAAGTTTCAAAAGTTTTCTAAATTAAGGTTAAAGAAACAAACAAAAAATTAAGCAGTAGCTTTCAAACTTTTCTCTTAACTAAAAAAAAAAAAGTGGCATTTCTATATAGAAAAGATAGAGAAGCAATTGTGAGTAAGTGTGAAATGTGTGTGCTGTGGGGAGGTGAGGGCAGTCCTCCCTACTGGGCAATCTCTGCTTCTTGCTATGACACCTCATCTGTGAAAGCCTCCTGCCTTAAATCATATTAGGAGGGTGATCATACTGTGGGGAAAAGACTCCCCAACCATAGCAGCATTGACTGCTGCTCCCCCAGATGTGTCGGCCCTATGACTGCAGTGCAGGGAGCCAAGTGCCATTAACAGTTCTTTACAGAGGGGATGTTCAAAGACATGGAGACCTGGGGTGGATTCCCAGTGTCACCTCTTCAGTGTGTGAGTCTGAAGCCATGTGCTTTCTGGAGCACAGGTCCGAAATCTACCAAGACCCGACATTCTGCATTGATATGAGTTGTCTGATAGTGGTAGGAAAGGCGCTCCTATGAAGCCTCCATGGAAGGCAGGACCAGAATCATCTGTCTAGGTAGAAGAGGAATCACATTCTCATTTTCCATTTTCCAGTTCTTTTTGCTCCTGGACAGGCAGGAATCACATTCATATCAAAAGTTACAAGAGCATTTTTTTCAGCCAGAGTCAAGAGACTGCACTGATTCTAGCAACTTTCCACTTCAGAAGAGCATCACTGCACTTCACTTAGAGTCAAGGGATTTTTTTTTTTTTAATTTTAAAGAAGTGCATGTCTATAAATCTTTTCATTTGTCTCTCAAGGAATCTCAGAGCAGGGCATCTGGCTTCAGACATCTGGGTCAATACGAACCTATAGCCTAATTACTATTGATTCGTCATTGTCTCATTTGCTGCGGGTCTTTGCAAACAGTGAGATTCATTTAGCCTCCACATATATGGTCACTCGTGCACTAACGAGATCCCTGGGGGACGGAGCATATGCTCACCCTTTGACTCCTAACCTCCTCGCAGCTGTATGTTTATTCTTTGAATTCAGCCATTCGCCTGCATGTTTTTTCAATTATACCTTACCATGTGTGCTATCTGAGTATATCATTCAAAATGAAATGCACTTGGAAAACATTAAAATAACAACTGCACGTCATTATTCACATAATTTTAACCTTGCATGATGCCTTTTTGGGTTCCGACTTTGTTTCATTTTTGTTTTATCAATTCCTTCTCAGATGGCGGGCTGCCCTCTCTCTTAGCTCAGGAATCACATTTTAACTGTTCCAAGTGTATCTTTCTCCCTCCTGTTTATGAAAGTCAGGCTCATATACCCTCTCTCAGAGGGGAAAATTCTTGTTGTCCTAGGCACATTGTATATGATAAAGAAAATATATTTTCTACCATCACAATATAGTTTGCCTAGTACCACCTGGGTGATCAGGCTTCCTGAAACTCTCTAAGCCTAGCTCACTTTTTGTAATCATGATTAATATTTTTACCTTCTGAGCTGTTACAAAGATTAAATATAGAGTTCTGAGCACTCTAAAATGATAGGCAATCAATAAACAATTCCCTGTCTTTTCTCATCAGAGGAAATTCATTTCTAGCTTAAAAAAGAATCCAAGTCAGAGAAGGTTTTTTTTTTTTTCTTTCCCAGACTACTGCTTACAATCTTAAACAAAGTCAGCACCCCATGGAATCTGTAATCTTCCCACCTTCTCCATAAATCACTTAATTTTTGGAATCAGTGGATGTCCAGAATTATGGTGACCATACTTTCAAACTAAACTTCTGAATATGTGGTCTAAGAGAAGACATGTGTGCTCTTTCTAGAATAAGAGAAAATCTGGGAAAGAAGTGTCTACACTGCGTGTCTCCTACTTTCACTTGTTTCGCAGATTGCTGAGTGGGGGGCTGTACTCACCCCCCCCCACACACACACAGCACACAGAGCACACGCATTCTCACACTAACTCACACTCACTCTCTCATTCAGAGCTATTGCAGTGAAAAGTGGATAACTATGGATCCTAGATATCCATTTGCATTTGGAGACTGGACAGGATAATTCTGGAGTCATATGGCTACAACCTTCTAGGCATGGTGCTGTATATCATAGAAGGGGACAGAGAAAAGGAACAAGCATCTTGTTTACCCCTCTTCCTCTAAATTCCACCCATGGGCCAGCACTACACGATGCTAAAGGTAACCTGCTGGGAGGTATGAAATGGAGATTTTATTTCCAAAAGCAGCACAGCCTTAGTCTTTCTGAGAGAACCTCCATGCCTGAACACTCTTTTACCCTCATATGTAAAACAGAAGCTAAAGATGGCATTATAATATCCAGTTTATTTCTGTTTAAATACTGTTTCTCATCAAAAAGCTGTCAACTTTGCTGATTATCCCAACACAGTGTACAGATGGAAGGTTCTAGTTAAAGTCATTGCCATAGTTCTACAATTGTCATAGTCCAGGAGAACCAAAGTCAATACTTGCTAATAGACTGATGGCTCACGCTGTTGGCAAAACTGAGGCAGCAGTAGGTGAGGAAGTCATAAAGGACGGGAGAAATCTGAGAAGAGAAGAGCTGAATAAACAGTGAGATCAATATTTAGAAATCTCCCTATGCCACTGAGATCTCCCTATGCCACTCATCTCCTCAAGAATTAAAGGACATCAAACACTATCACTGCGAGGTACCGGGCACACTGCACATTGGTAATATATGTTCTTGACCTCTCATTTCCCTTCCTTGTTCCAAGGGGAGTTACAGGAGCTTTATAGGAAAATTTTAAACGTATCTGAGATTTGGCCTATAGTGGATCAGTGCATTTTATGAATTTATGGACATCACAGAAGGGAAGGAGGATTAAGGAAGATGTCAAATCAAGAAAAACTGATTGCCCTCAAAGGAACAACAAAAAATCCAGGGAAAGTGGGAGAAAAGAAAGACTGGCTGAATGAGAGCACATGACTTAGCATGTCATGTCAATGCTCCTAAGGGAACTGAACCCAGTGGCAGCTCAGTGAGAGATGCCCACTGCCTGCAGTGACCTCTACAGAATCAAGTCAGAACAGACTGGGCTTCACTGATTACACCCTTCCACCTCTGACAGACAGTAGGCTTGCTGAGAGTTGTCCCTTCCACCCCAGTGAAAGTCTAGTTTACTCCATATAGTTGCCAAAGAAATGTTTCTGAAAGATAAATCTGATTGTATCTTTTCTGTGCTCAAAAAAATGAAAGCCATGAAATAAAGTCAGAGCCCCTATAGTTATCAACTGCAACCCACATTGTTAGGCCCTCAGCTAACTCCAAATCCTCATTCATTTCTTGCTCTTCTAGACGTTGGTCCAATGGCTGTGTCAGTGTTCATCAGTCTGGCATGCTATTGGCTGCCTTTCAGGTCTTGGGGCCCGCTGTTCAGTCTGGAAGTTCTGACACCATGGCCTGCTGCCTCGCCACACAGTCCTGCTCAAGTATCACCTTTTTGAGGGCGGCTTCTCCACTTGAAATAGCTCCCACCCATCACCTCTGCAGCCCACCTTCTGATTCTCTTTCATCTCTGTTTTTCTTTTCTTAAAGATTTATTTATGTATGCATACAGGACTGGAGTATAGGCCAGAGGTGCAGGGGAGGTGAGAGGATTCACTAGAGACAGAGTGGGGAGCAGAACAGGAAAATAGGCGAAGTACACTGATGAGGGGAACAGCATGAGAAACACGACAGGTATGACGTGCCATGTGCCCTGGCCAGGGATCGAACTTGTGCTAAAGTGGCTGTGACTAGCTTCATAGTGCTGTACTTCAACCTG